TATTGAAGAATTTTACAACAGTTGCAAAGCTGCTTTCTCTGCTGAACGCAGCCAATGTCTGCTGAGATAGGACCGTTGGCTGCGTTCAGCAGACTCAACAGTTTTGCTACTGTATATACTGTGATGTTATAGCGTGTTTCAATCATGATATACAGTCTCGAATGAGATCTCCACGTGCGAAGTTTAATTTTCTTCGACGTTCGAAATTTTTTTGAAACTCTTGCTCTTCTATTAATTATTTATAAGTGATTATGGAACAAATGGAGGAGTTATCAGCAAGTGAATATGTAAGGTAAGCCATTTCAATTATCTTTATTTCCAGTGATATATTTTGATACGAGATTCTTAAAGTTTCATCTCGAAATAATATTTCTGAGATAATTATATATTTATCTTTATTTGTAACTATCTATTTCTATTTCAAAAAAATTTTTAGAACGTGAATGATTTTTGTATAACATCTTTAAAAAATTTCAGACTGACGGTCAAAGAAAAGTATAACCATTTGATATTAAGCGACGTGAGTCTGATTGTGCCGAAAATGGGCATGTGAAAATGTTGGATGACGAAAGGTTTCTGGTGCGATTAGAAATGTTTCAATATATGAGTATATTAACTTTTTATATATATACAGGGGGTGTCCACTCTCCCTGTATATGAAGAAATAAACACAGAGAACGAAGAGTATATGCTCATCGACTGTATTATGTGATCTTTTTATTTATGACTGCATCTATATTTTTTTTGTATCTTATAAAAATACTTTTTTATAAAAAACCACGCATGATATGCATGGCGCTGGTGAAATCGAACCTGGGATCCGCGGATTGTGAATTCACGATCGAACACGGAACCACTCGACGCCTCGCATATCTCTTTATGCTTATTTATCTTTTTACCCCGGATTTATAATAGGATTTTAAGCCTTAAGTCATAAGAAATGGGCGAATCACAGTCGATTATTCCCCTCGGATTCGACTGTAATTGGTCAATTTCTTACGGCTTAAGTCTTAAAACACCTATGTAGATCCGGACTAAGGGCCCTAATGCGTCGTCTACAATATGCGGAATAAGCTTGGTTTAAGAAGTAAGAGTAAGAAATTGACCAATCACAGTCGAATATGAGAAGAATAATCGACTGTGATTGGTCAATTTCTTATTCTTACTTCTTAAACTAAGCTTACTACGTGTATTGTAGACGGGCCATAACAGGTAAACTTTACCAAAAGATAGAACAATCGGCCCTCAAACTGGACGCAGCAAGCATCAAGCAGCGGAACAGCAACCAATCAGTGAGGCGATATTTACAGTGACGTAAACAATATCGCTTTTCTGGTTGGTTGCTGCTCCGCCGCTTGATGCTTGCTGCGCCAGGGTGAATTAGGCATAAGGTGCATTCACATGCAAGCGTCAAACAGCTGAAGCAGCAACCAATCACGTGACCTGGTCTCTCTGATTGGACCTGGGCATCAAAGCTCCATAGGCATGGAAGAGATTGGAGAAAACTTGTCACATGATTCCCTTCTGATTGGACGTGGGCATTCACGTGATGCAATTTGCCACTCTCTCCCTTTGAGGCTCTCTAGATACGAGTAGTGGTGTAAAAAATATTTTTTACGCCATTGTAAAAATCGCCTCGTTGATTGGTTGCTGCTTCCGCTGCTTGACGCTCGACGCTTACATGTGAATACACCTTTAAGCATTATTGTGTGATTAAAGTCTGATTTATAATGGCCGTAACCGTTAACTTATGCCGGTGCCGGTAAAGTTCAACCATAAAATTTCAATGCTTTCGTTCATACTAACTTGCCATATTAGTTAACGGCCATTATAAATCAGGCTTAAGGCTGTAGTTCACTTGACGCTACAAACGCTTCGAAGCATTCTTTTAGCGAATTCGATTGGACGCATTCAGTGAGCACTGGTGCACATTAAAGCCGTTGTACATAAAATAACGTGCAGATATGTTTATAAATAAATATAGAAATCGATTAAATAGTGAAATACTCAATACATTTTATTGTACTATTAGGTAAGATATGTATTTCATAATTCGAAATATTTGCATTTCATTTTTATACTCAAATTAAATCAGTGTACAACGGCTTTAATATGCACCAGTGCGCACTAGTGCTTCCAATCGAATTCGCCATTTGATTAGTCAATTCGTAAAATTCTTTGTTCTGATTGGTCGCTCAAACGCTTCGAAGCGTTTGTGGCGTCAAGTGGACCGCAGCCTATGATTGAAACTTGCAGCGTTTCCATTGGGAAATCTAGTGAAGTGCAACACTGGTGCACTTGAATGCAAATCGATTTATATATGTTCAGTGTTAATAAATAATTTAAACCTTTTAACGTTATGAGGTTATCGTGACAACAAAGAGTATGCAATTAAAAGGGTTAGATTATTATTTATTAACATTGAAAATAAAATGATTTATATTTAAGTGCATTCAGTGTTGCACTAGTTTTCTCAGCACTAGCTTTCTGGAAAACGCTATTGGAGTTTTCCTGTTGGACTAACCAATAAAAAAGGTTTATTCCAAATTAACCAATAGCAACATGGGTGAACGTTTCTCACTTTGACGGAAGAGGGAACTACTTTGTGGAGGAGTAGGCGATCGTTGCGCGGATCACCGGATATATAAATGCGTGCAAGAACGGCGCACGTCGCTTTTTTGCCTCAGTAAAGGTAGAGTTGTGTTCGCGTTGCGCGTTTGTTGTGTGCGTTTCCTTTTCCCTTGAAATAGGCCACATAACCTAATGTCCATTTCGTGAAACTAACTCTCCTAGAAAAACCCAAAAAAAGCAAAAAAAATTGTGAAAAAAAAAACGCATTAAAAAAATCGCAAAACTACAAGCGAAAATCGTCGTGTCCTCGATGATAAAGGAAAAGAAAGGGAAGTAAATACCGAGTCCAGAGCCAGTGTTCGTTCGCAGGGAGAAACAGACGGAGGAATTTATCTACTCACAGGCACGCAAAAAAAAGTACCCACGCACGCACGCACGTAGTGGAAGCGGGAGAGGTGAAGAGGAAAACGTGTGCGAGGACGCGCGAGCTACGAGACACGGGCAGGTGCGTCGGAGCAGGGTAATCCGTACCGCGCGAGGGTAGAGAAGGAAATAGCCAAACGATTGAAGCGTCGCGCGCGACGCCGAAGAACGCCGTCCCGTTTCTCTCTTTTCTCTGCGATAATCCGCCGCCGCCGCCGCCGCCATGAATCCTGGAGCACCCAACTACCCCATGGCTTCGCTCTATGTAGGCAATCTGTTATTTTTTTCGGATAAATGGATATTAAGTGTCTTTGACTTTTCCTTTAAGAGAGTTTCTATTTTCAATATTGGACCTGTGCTGTCGATCCGCGTATGCCGCGACATGATCACCCGCCGTTCGCTCGGCTACGCATATGTCAACTTTCAGCAACCAGCCGATGGTGAGTTATCATTGTTATTATTTTTATTATTGCGCAATTTTCATAATGATGCATGGTAGTAGTGGTGGTAGTGGTGATGATGGTGATGGTGATGGTGGTGATGGTGGTGGCGGCAGTGGTAGTCAACGTGGTAACGCGGCGTCGGTCCGCGTGAATCGCCACCTGCTGCATGTCTCACATGTGCCGCGCCAACGCGCGCCCTGTTGGATCCATCGGAGCACGATGCAACAAAAACTTAAATAATAAAATGTAAGCAGTAGGAAAATCAACCTGTTGGATTTGCTATTGCTTACGTTTCATTATTCAATTAATTCTTTTATGTATTATGATCATCCTCAAGGATGAAGATCATGGAGGATGATGAGCTGAAGAGGGGAATTAAGGCTGAACCACAATTGAAAAGCACACAAGGAATAATACATTTCAACTAAGGCTGATTGCTTCGAAGGCATTCAAACTTTGAAGCTTCAGCATTAAAATCTTCAAAATTTGGACAATTAAAATAACACAATTGTGAACTTTGGATTACGTTTACACGGCTCGATTTATACCGAAGTTTTATCATCGATGTTAGGAAACTGGCCAATCACAGTCATTCTATTCTTCAGAGGAATAGCTATGATTGGTCAGTTTCATAACATCGATGTTTTATAACTTCGACGTAAATCGCGAGCCGTGTAAACGTAATAATTAATTTAATATAATAATAATATTACAATAATAAGTGCATATTTATAAAATTATATTTTATATATGACAAAATTTGAAATAAAATGTTTTAATGTTGCAATTACATTGTTAAATTAAAAATTATGCAAGTTCATTATTTTTATCGATTTTACGATTCTGTTTGGATTTTACGTTCTTAAAATTATTGTTTTATGCTAAAGAAGATTTACTTGGCAGTAAAGTCGAAACATTTATATTAATTTACTATTTTTTAATTTTCATTTTTATTTGAGAATAAATTTATTTTTATTTTTTTAATTTTCTCAATTGGATTGTTTTAAACATTATCCTTTCTTATTTACATGCATATCGAATCTAATTATTAATATGTAATATTTTAGACTATAATGCTACAAATTTTTTAAGAATATCACATTTTTTAGTATATATATTAATTAATTCTATTCATTTATAATATTCCTAGCATTTCTCGAATAAATTCGTCATTCACACGAATTTTTCAAAGTTTCGGAATTAATTTCAAACTTTGAAAAAATTCGAAGCTCCGAATCATCGAAATCAGTCCAAACAGCCCTAATTTTTATCAGTACTGTATATTCTGATATACACGGTTTCCGATATGTTGAAATCTGTTATTTCCCGTTCCGCGATTGCCTGTGTATTCAACTGTGTTTCAGGCTTTAGACTTTAATCGAATTATCTTAATCTGTTTTGCTCTGATTGATTAAATTCTAATCTTCAATTTGCGATTCTCGGTCCATCACGGGTTTGACGGTGATTGATGATTAACACTTAAGCGGATTTGCCACGTGACAAAAAAATATTGTTTTTCTTTCTTTTTTTTCTTTGTTGCGCATTATTTGGAGATACGCGGTCAAAGCAGTCAAAGAAACAAATCCATCGAAAATATTTGAAATTTTAGTACATTTCTTTCTTTTATGCAGAAGATATAGTTACAAGATCTAAAAATTAAAAGGATAAACTACGGTGAATGAAAGAATAAATTCCGATAATCGAAAAAATTTATCAATAGATTTATGCTTAAAGTCTTATGTAACATAAGGATTTCGATCTCAAGTAAAAGTCCCTTCAAAAAAAGAAAGAGAATTTCTTTCTAGTTACATAGTGACCCGCAAATTTGTTTCTATAACTTTATTTCAATCTTTCTTTGTCTTGAGAAATCGATTTCTTTTTAGAAGATGAAACAGACATTATCGGTTTTACGCATCGTTCGAAATTTTTTCGCCTTGCAGGAATTTCTCTTTTAAGAAAATTTTCGAAAACGCACCTCTTTGTTAGGTAAAAACGCATGAAAACTTACGTCCATTATCTTCTAAAACGGTTATAAGATTTAAATTTTTGTTACTTCGAAGGAAAAGAAGAAAACATTTTTCTACCTGACTTTTTATACCTGAGGTCAGAATGTACAAAAGACAATTCTTTTCCGGACTAACAGAAAATGTCTACCTGAGTTTTGCACATATTCTTTTTCGCTTTCCGAATATATTCCTTCAACACTTTAGACCTGGGTCTCTATTCTGTAACTCTTAACGCAAGTTTCGTTATCGTTATAACGTCGTTTACCACGACAAAAATTGTATAGAACTTCTTCGCTTTTGCCGAACTTCAAATATATAATATATTTATTTCACTTTACGAGTATACTAGTTTAATTTTAACAAAAGAACAGACCTGTTGACTATCAGATTGAGTCACATTTGTGACCGGAACTATCATAATTTTTTAAAATGTTTGTAAAAAATAAATATTTAATATAGAATTTCAAATAACATAAATAGATGAATAACGATATAAAGAAAAAATATGCTATTTAATATAGTACTTATAAGGATACAATTTTATTTAGACACGCTACACAATACTTTATCATTGTACACTTACGATAATGAAAATTCCATTGTGACGCACATGGTAAGAAACTAAACTCAATGAGCAGTTCACGCGTTTTAACTGTATTTCGTAACTACACACTTGAACAAAATAGAAATATTAACTCGAACTTCAAATATTTTTCTTAATTTTCGATTAAACAAATATCTAATTTTTTATTCAAGAATTGAATTATAGGAAACATTAATATATCTCATTTTGTAATATTATTGTAATATTAATAGTATTAATTCTCTGATCTGAAGAAAGAATAGGAAAAAAATTATAAATCATAAATTTTAATTGAAAGAAACGAATTTTTACAATTATGACTTGATTTAATAAATATATTACAAAATACGCAAATCGAAAAGTACAAGATTATCCTTTTTATGTATTTATGCTTGGGAGAATAAATTCATGAAAAATCATGCGCGCGCACATACACGAAATTAATTCTTGTACATATCAAGAAATATGTACAAAAGTTATCTGGAATAAAAATATTTTTCCGTTTGCTACAAACATATCTTATATACTGTATAATTTAATTAAAAAATTTTATATAAGTTTTTGGAGATGTATTTTTAGCTTATAAGTTCTAAACAGCTGCAAGAACAATTGTGCATACATATGAATTTATTTAATGATAAAATCCGCTTTCGATTAACATTTAAAATATTCAACATGCTATTCAACCTCCACAAAGACAGTACATTAGCATAAATATACATTTGCCGATGTTCATGTTTCAGCTGAACGCGCCCTTGATACTATGAACTTCGACATTATAAAAGGGCGGCCTATCAGGATTATGTGGTCCCAGCGCGATCCCTCCTTACGCAAGTCAGGCGTTGGAAATGTATTTATCAAGAACTTAGATAAAAACATAGACAATAAAGCGATGTATGATACGTTTTCGGCGTTCGGTAATATACTGAGTTGCAAGGTTACGCAGGACGAATCAGGCGCGTCAAAGGGTTACGGCTTTGTCCATTTTGAAACGGAGGAAGCAGCCAACAAATCTATTGAAAAAGTCAATGGAATGTTGCTAAATGGCAAGAAGGTAAAGTAGTATTCTTTCTCCATCAATTATAGGATAAAAGTTATTATCTCAATTGATTGGCTTATCGAGTTAACAGTTTCTCTCGTTTAATGAATTATAAGACAAGTCTATAATACATACACGATACAGAGGTTGATTATATTAATATCTAAAAAAAATTACATTTATTTTGAAGATATTTAATTCTAAATGTATGGAATTTTACATTACAAGTGTATACACAAAACTTTATTCTGTAGATATTTTTTCTTAATTTGAAACATTTGCATATAAAAGACCCATTCCAAGAATGTTATAATTATAATAACAAAGTAAACACTTAATCATTCTGATAAGGTTTCGTCTGATAAATTTATGTCATAATTTCGATGTTACATCATTTCCATTATTTGCATATTTTGCCATGTGCATTATTTTGAGAGTAAAACATTTGTATAACCTCAAGCATACTATGGATGAATTCTAAACAGAATCTTAAGCTCATAATTTATTCTTATAAGACATATAAGAACTTATGACTGACGTTTTATAATTTTATATACTGTAAGATGTACGATCATTTGTAAATATCTAATTTCTCATAAATCTTAAGACTAGCAAGATGTCTGTAAACATATTGCATAAAGTTATAAACATCTGTAAGTTTGTACAAGTGTTATGAGAATATGTTACAAGCCTTACGATTCTGCTTACAATTTAGGTATAATATTGCTACGTCTATGCTATCATCAAATGAGCGCCATATAACTTTTATATTTTGTTAACATAAAATTAATAGTGATTTTATATGTAACGACATTAACGAATTAATATTGTTGGTAATGTTTTTACATTATTATTTTAATTATTTTACACAATTTTAAGAATTTAACTGTCCATTGACTAAGAAGTAGCGCGAGAATCTCCTTAATGTTCCCTTTTCTGTTTCTCAACATGGATTATGCTCACAGGTGTATGTCGGCAAATTCATTCCCCGTAAGGAACGCCAGAAGGAGTTAGGCGAGAAGGCCAAATTGTTCACAAACGTCTACGTAAAGAACTTTGGCGAGGATATGACCGACGACAAGCTGAAGGAAATGTTCGAAAAGTACGGGACCATTACAAGCCACAAAGTGATGATTAAGGACGACGGCAAATCACGTGGCTTCGGATTTGTTGCGTTCGAGGACCCAAACTCCGCCGAGCAGGCGGTACTCGATTTGAACGGTAAGGAGATCGCCGAGGGCAAGTGTATGTATGTTGGACGGGCTCAGAAAAAAGCCGAGCGCCAACAGGAACTTAAACGGAAATTCGAGCAATTGAAAATTGAGCGGTTGAATCGATATCAAGGCGTAAATTTGTACGTGAAGAATCTGGATGATACGATCGACGATGAGCGTCTGCGTAAAGAATTTACACCGTTTGGCACGATCACCTCAGCGAAGGTGATGATGGAGGAAGGACGTAGCAAGGGTTTTGGTTTTGTGTGCTTCTCGCAGCCAGAGGAAGCCACCAAGGCAGTTACCGAGATGAACGGACGCATTGTAGGTTCCAAACCCCTCTACGTTGCTCTGGCGCAACGTAAGGAAGATCGTAAGGCTCACCTTGCCTCTCAATATATGCAACGCATGGCGAATATGCGCATGCAGCAGATGGGTCAAATATTCCATCAACCTGGTAACTCCGGTAGTTACTTTATACCTACACTGCCGCAACCGCAGCGATTCTATGGACCCGCGCAAATGGCGCAGATTCGTGCTACTCCACGCTGGCCAGCGCAACCAAATCAAGTAAGACCGAACGCGCAGACTGGCAACTCTGGATTCGCGTCAATGCAAGCTGCACCATTCCGAGCGGCGCCGCGAGCTCCTGCCGCACAGGCTGGAGCCTTACGTAACAACATGTCTGCCAGACCTATCACAGGTATTCTAAAAGAAAAAGGTGTTGATACAAATGTATTGTTCAACAGAATATTATAAACACAACTTGTAAATCCATGCAGTGGTTATAATATTATACAATAATTATATTTAATAATTAGTGAAATAATTATTACTTTACATTATCTGACAATGCCTATGTATTTCAGGTCTGCAAGCTGTTAGTAACAATATGCAGAGCCGTTCCATGGCCGGACCAGCTGTTGGTGTCTCGCCCGGTCAGAGCCGTCCGTCGAATTACAAGTACACCGCAAATATGCGCAACCCTCCACAAGCGGCCATGGCTTTACCCACACCGAGTGGTCCTTCTATGCAGCAGGCGGTTCACATCCAGGGTCAAGAACCGCTCACTGCATCGATGTTAGCTGCGGCACCACCGCAGGAACAAAAACAAATGTTAGGAGAACGTTTATTCCCTCTAATCCATGACATGAATCCACAACTGACTGGTAAAATCACTGGTATGTTACTGGAGATCGATAACAGCGAATTGCTTCATATGCTGGAGCACAAGGAATCTCTGAAGGCCAAAGTCGATGAAGCCGTGGCCGTATTACAGGCCCATCAAGCAAAACAAGCTGTCGCGCCGAAGAAGGAATAAACGTCTCATCGATAATGTTTATTTATAACAAGTGAAAATAAATTTCGATAAATTTTGACTTTGATTCGTTGTATGCGGGATATTGTTTCTTCATTTAATTTTGTTTATCTAAATTTATCATGTCAGCATGTTTATATGATGAAATTTACTTTCCAAGATATCGCTTGGGAAGATGCAAAAATACATACTCTTTTTACACACAATGTAAAATTTTAAGAAAAAAATCTTCATATTCGGCATATTAAAATATGAGAAGTTATGAACATTTTCTGAATCAATAATTAGATTCGCCTTGCATTTGCTTATTGAGAGAAACATGTGAAGGAATATGAATTGATTTCCAAATTTAAAAATTTAAAATAATAAATTTTTCTGTCAGGATACATAAAGCGATCGATGTTCAGCGGATGCAACAATTAATCGAACAGTTTAGGAACCTTTAATTTTATTCGATAGATTTATAAGTATATAACTGCGCGCAAGCAGTCGTTGCCTAACGATGTATATAATTGTTACATCTGCTGGATGTATTTTTCTTTTCATATTTCCCTTCTCGAAACGAATAAAATTATCTTTGAATAAAGGAAACTGTTTCACAAATTACACTAGAACCCATCATAACAAGGATGAATTTTTGATTGAACATTTTTATTTTTTTCGGATAAGTGGATATTAAGTGTCTTTGACTTTTCCTTT